CCACCCCCAGGTACCTCCTGGGCCCTTGCCCTCCTGCTGCCGCTGCATCCTTGCCGCCCTCCTCACCTTACCCACCTTGCTACAGGTTCCTCTCCTCCCCGTAGCACTGCACAGCGGCGACTGATACGGATACGACGACGACGCAGCAGGGCAACAAGGACAGGGCGACGCAGCCCGTCTCTGTCGCACCTGCAGCGCGCTCTGCCGGTAAGGTGGCCCTTACTCACCTTGCCTACCTGGCCGGCGGCGTGCCGGGGGAGCTGTGGGAGAGCCCCCCTCTGCTCTCCAGCGTTGCCACATGAATTTCGTCCATTTAATTCGAGCGTCGAATTTCCGGCCACCGGCAGCGCACCACCCCCCATGTCGCGTCTGTCCTCTCGACGACCCTCCTCCACACCTGGTCACCCCACAGGTCACCCCCTCGGTGCTGCTGGTCAACTACACCAGCACAGGCGCACGCCGAGAGGGGTTTCATATCCACCGCGGAAGCCGAGAAGTGCGTGCTTGTGCGTTCGCCGAGGCGTTGCGCAGGTGCAGAACCAGACCGGGTCTTAACGCTCCTCTTTTCGCCTACGTATACAGCCAAATGATTGTGCGTATTGCATACAATTCGGCCGTTTCGCGGGAGAGGGGGAAGACGGGCAGGTCACAGTTTAATTTCGGGGGCGGACGTACTCGGGCTGGCGGCCGCGAGCCGCGAGGGAAGTACAAGCTGGCGTGAGGCCCCTCTGGACCTCCAGGCGCCAGGCAGGTGGCGGCGCCCCCAGCCCGTGCAGTAGCGGCATTATTTCGGCGGCTGCTAATTAATTAGGCCCTGGTTGGGGTGCGGCGTGATGCGGAGCGCCGGTGGTGGCCGCGGCAGGCCGCACCCCCGCTCCCGCCGCCCGCTCCGCTCCGCGCCCAGCTGTTTCCCGGCCGGCGGCGGCGGGCGCGCGGGGCGCGGCAGTGTGACGCAAGGAGGCCAGGGGCGCAAGCGAGTGTTCGGCGCGGCCAGCACCAGCGGCGGGGCGACGTAAGCACTTTTTCCAACAAGGTCCTGTCCACCATGATTTGCGGAAAGCCCGCGGCCACCCGGAGGCAAATGACCCAGAGAAAATTGGCAAACATTTTACAGCGCACCACCTGCTAACCTGGGATAGGTCCGCCTCACAGGGGGGGGGG